CCACTCATCGGCTTGAAATTTTTGATATCAAGAAAGGAGAGAATTCTAAGTTTACTCTTTGAGAAAAGCATGCATCAACAATTCAGTTAGATGTTGAAGTGCATAAATTCAAATATTAACATTAAAGTAAAATCTATTTTATATTATTATTATATCTGATATTTATTTTTTTCTTAAATTTAAAATAAGAAATGAATTACTTATATAATAAAGTAGAAACTCTACGATCTAAATTATAAGATCAAATTATGCACTTACTCTTTATATTTTGTTAAAGTGGTGAATTTAATACTTGTACAAAAATTTATAAAAATTGAGTCTTTGTATTTTCTAAAATAGATAATATCAATTCAATCACTGACGGTGTGAAAAAATTTCCTATACTGACATAGTATTTGATTGTACTAATATGACATTGAATCTAATGGCATGGGCATCTAAGAATGATGTAATACTTATGCAATGAAGTTTTTTTGATTGATCTGTTGAGACGAATCAAAAATCCAAATAAATTTTTGGACTATTTGTTAGATTATTCTTGATTTTTTCCTTTTCTTGATTCTCTCTCAATTATCCTTCAAACCAATGTTCTAATCATAATAGAAAATCAATTATCTCTTTCTGAAATCACCCTAAATTATAATCAGATTAGAAAATCAGAAAGGAAATGGAAATTCAAAATAAAAAATATGGTATAGTGGTTAGAGATAACTTACCCGAGTTGATTTTAAAAATTATAAATTAGGTTTAAAAGTTAACGTTGCATCAACATAGTCATTACATTTTTTTGGATTTCAAGTTATAATTGTTATATTATCGAATTCAATATCATATCATTATAGTCAAATATAATATATAATAGTACAAATAATAAAAAAATTTTAACATTGTTAATGATTGAATTAACATTGTCAATTTTACAAAGTGTAAAAATTCAATATTTACAAATTATTGTACATAGATTACATCCATTACTTTGACTAATTGTATAATAACATCCGCACTTTTAGCTCAATACTAAATTCATAGAGTTTCGTTAAATAAAATCCAAATCCTTTCTTGCACCAAATCAATAATAATAATATCTTTTTTCAAATATTAACAATAAAAATGTTGCTCTAGGCACAAATGTTACAAGCTGGAATTTTATTACTTCAGATTAGAATATGGAAGTCTATATATGTCTAGAGTAATTATGTCGTTTTTTCAACTTTACCTATGTTTGATTTTATGATTCTAGGATGAGGACAGGTTTCCAAATAGGGGATTTTCTTTTTTCTTATGTTATGATTGAGTATGGGGGGTTTTTGATGTTGGGATTATAGTCTTGGCCTGGACCTTTTGAGACCATGGAATTTTTGTGACAATGACATATTTCTCAGCTTAATTATTAAAAGGAGAAAACACCCAAAGACAACTCTTTCTTGATGAAGGGGGTCAGTGTTCTTTGCCAAAAACAAGAATTCATATGCATATGAATTTCTGTGGAAATGACTGCTGATGGGTGAAAACCAATGCAGAACTCCATCATTCTTTACATTTGTTATACTTATGGGATGCATTGTAGCAGCAAATTCCTGAGTTTGTGACTAAAGAAATATTGGCACTTTGGCTCTAATACTAAAAGAAACGCGCCAGGCGATCTTCCCAGGAAATTGCAGTTCCAATAGTGTTCTTATCTGCTATTTGTCTGTGGCTCCTACATGTCCCAATCAGACTAAGCGGATAAGAAAGTTAGAGACTTTGCCTGTTGTCTTTATTGGATTCCGGCCTGCAACAGGGCAGGGTTTGGAGTTGCCTGTAGAACTCTTTTGAATATGACAACAAACAGAAAATTCATGGAAGTTTTGGTTCTATGACAATGCCATATGATCCAAAGCTAAAATGCGAAAATTGTTTTCATCTCCTACGTATTATTCACCTTAATACTGTAAGGTTCAATGCGAGTCTCCTATAAATACGCATTGCTCTAAGGAGATCAGCAATCATTGCCGAGACCACTGAAAAGAACCCAAAGAAATGGATCCTAAACTATATAAAGCTGTAATAACCAGTAATATTGCTTTCCTAGAGGAATTAGCAAGCTCGGATTTAGCAGTTTTTCTCCAGGTGACAGCACAGGAAGACAACATTCTTCATGTTGCAGCCAAGTATAATCTGGAGCAAGTGGCAGAAGAGATCATGACATATCCACCATTGGTGTCGCTTGTGTGTCAAAAGAATTCAAAAGGTGATACTGCACTACATATTGCAGCAAGGCTGGGGAGTTTACGGACAGCTAAAGTCCTCATAAATTGAGCAAATAACATGAGCCGGGAAATTGAAGCACACGTGAGCCTTATAAGGATGGTGAATATGGAGCAAGACACTGCACTCCATGATGCTGCAAGAAATGGTCACCATGAGATTGCAGAATTGTTAATTAAAGAAGCTCCAGAGTTGGCACTTCTTACAAATGATGTTGGGGAGTCCCCACTCTTTATTGCTGTGGATAAAAAACATGTCAAAATTGCTAAACTTATCTTGGAAGTTGCTCCAGATTGCTCTTTTGGGGGTAGGAACAACATGAATGTCTTACACGCAGCTGTTGTTCGGTCACAGGATGAAGGTAATTTTTCTCACCTTATTCATTAATCCAAGGAAAAGATATGAAAGAATCATATACATCTGATGCTCACTTGCTTCAAACTCAATTGGAAAAGGAAATATCCAATAAAATAGAGTTGACTAACATAGTTAAGCAATTGATTTATTCTCCTTTATCTGTTTCTAACCACCGCAATGTAAGCCGTTGGAAAGTTTTTGGTAGCCAAGCTTATTGTTGTTACCTTATCAACCTTGCAGTTGTCAGATTATCCTCCTGTTTGGTGACGCTTCAGAGTCCTATGAATTACATTACAAATATGTCATTCAAGCATTATGCCAAGTTCTCTTCCTTTGGACCCTCCACCATCTTTCAGGCTGCCATAGCTCTATCCAAGGACAAAGGTAAATGCATCGCAAATCTTATCATAGCACTCCCGTTAATGTTCTGATTAAGTACTTATCAATCCATTTTCATTTTCTTCTAAAAATTCCTGCTCTAACTTAGCATGTTTAATTAACCTTTCCTCTTGGCCTAGATTTCATTGAATTCTTGATGGGAAAATGTCAGTCTGCACTCTCTGAAACCGACGAGTGCGGATGGACTCCTCTGCACTATGCAGTACACTTTGGTGCAGTGGACATCGTCCAGCTGTTTTTGATTGATTCTTCAACTGCTTATATTAGAGATAATGAAGGCATGTCTGTCATTCACATTGCTGCCAGAGAAGGTGAAGTAGTCATATTGGAAATGCTTGCATATCGTTTTCCCGAAATTTGGGATTTACAAGATAATAACGGCCAAACAGCTCTACACCTTGCTGTTGCTAGAGGAAAGCTTGATTCTGTCAAGTTTATTCTTTACTTTGTTCTTTCTCATGATGGCTTCATAAATCAGCAAGATAATGAAGGTAACACAGCTTTGCAACTCGCAACAATCCAAAGACAAAATCACAAAATCTTTGAATTGCTGATAAAAGATAGTAGGGTCGATAAGACAGCCACAAACATGGAAGGCCTCACAGTTATCGACATTCTTCTGCTGAACAAGGAGTTCGGCTACTACGAAAAGGTATGACCTCTTAATTGCCCTTTTACTTTCTATTTACTTGAAAGGAGTGAAATAACGGAGTAATTAAATAATTTTGTGATATAGTTGCCTAATAGATTGATGGAAATGAAAGAGATTAGTATGGCATGTTAAACTTTGTGGAAAAATTTGTGGAGATCGTGAGTTAGCTATATATGAACCAGAATCAATGACAAACAGGAAAGATATTTCTAAACTTGAAATGTGACTCCAATGTATTTGAGATACTTACAGACTTGGATTACATT